CGTGTTCAAATCACGTCGGGGTCACCAATGTTGCGTTACTGAGATTCTGGTGTTACATAAAGGCATGTGTAGAGTGGAAGAAGATTAGATTGTTCACATAACTGGTTGAAGTAGATTTATTTTATCGAACCCGGGACGCGTGCTCGCTTAATACACTCCAAAGGAACTGTGCTCCTAGGTTACAGGATACCGTCCCACCGGTGGCGGTCGTTATCGCATTTGGCAAGAATTACACACACATTGACACGGGTGACGCCTGTGTGTGCTGTGTCAGCAGCACCCACACTTTCTTTTAGTATCCGATATTATTTGCAAATACATTTCGGAAATTAATCCGTTTCCAGTAAACTTTTTATTTCTTACTTAGTCCAGTAAAAACTTTATCTAAAAGGGTCATGCTTTGATTAAGACGCCGTAGTAGGTGTTTCAAGTCACAGATGTTTAGTTTAGTTTAATTGACCCAATTATGCTACAACTATAATACAGCTACACCATGGTTCTACCACATTTAATATTCATTTCCAGGAGTTATTGTCAATCTTGTATTCTTTGACAATATAATAACTCGTATTAAATAATTTTTACTTGCAAAAACTCCTGGCATGTCTCTCCTCCAGTGAGTCCAAAGCTGTTACTTTGGTATCTAGCAACATCAGTCCATATAGTACTACTACCACAGCCGTTCGGCAAGTTCCATTTACAAACTGCTAATGTATTGTATTTGAATATAATAGGGTTTTAACATATTCACTGTAAATGCACTTGGAGTTAAAATAATTTAATGTTTAATAATTTGTTATAAACATATTTAAAACAAAATCTTCAGAATAAAATTATTAATAAACATGAAGCAAAATATGGCTGCTATAATCTAGAGGGAACACGATACGGATAGATAGGGTTTGAGGTAGCCGGTGCCTGTAATAAAATGAAATAATTTGGGCGCCATTGTGAATTATATAGATAAAGTGTTTCTAAAATTAGAATTGTATTATTCCTCAGAGCTATTTTTGAATCTTAAAAGACATTTCTGTGATCTCTTCCATGCAGTTTCTATAATGTTTTCATAACAATTGTATAAAAATTATTATATTGTAAATTATGGTTTTAAAAAAAAAGTCCCGTTATGTTTCTTGCTGGTTCTTCCCAGGAGAGAGGTTTTTTCCGAAGCAGTGGTACAAGTTAAAAATGACTTTCAATAAAAATTACATGTAATCAATATTGAACAAAAATTATTCAATTCTATTCTTTTCTATTCTATCTAGGCCTAGTTAGAATAGATTAAAATAGAATCAATTTTTTTAGAAACAAAGCACGATTCGGACCCACCTGCATCAATCGACCGCCTGCATATTCATTACTCCATGTGGTGGAAGACCTTTCTACATTACAGTTACCGATACAAAGTTGCCACTCGAGAAACTTTCCTCCTCTTTTCATATAAAATAATGAAACCCCATAAATACTATTCTGTGTACAAACTACTAGCTTATGTACAAATATATTTCATAACGCTTTAATTTTAATCAATAATTACTGACTGGTGTTAAATTGCCCTGCTATAAGCCGCAATGTGTTATTCATAATTGGAAATCTTGATTACGGTAAATGCGGTAACGTTCTGATAAATGCGGTGAACGATTTGTTAATTTCTGTGTTTGGATATGGATATGTACACCACTATTTTATTGCCAAATAAATTTAATGTCATATTCATTTTTTAGTTACCTGAGATAGAAAATTTTTAGGGATATATTAATTTTTTGCAGATGATAGAGCCATGCTGCAGCTATATTAATAGTATAATTGTAGCACGAATGGGTCGGCTCGACCGAGGAAGGACCACGCTCTCACAGAATGCCAGCGTAAAATAGCAGCTTAATGCTGCTGTGTTTCGTATGATGAGTGTCGAGAACCGGAGACCCTTTTTACTGGAAAAGAGGCATTCCATCTTATTCCTCACGGCTGACAACGCATCTGCATTTTAATTCGTAAACAAAGGTAGATGTAGATGTCTATTAGCCATAGCGACCACTTACCACCAGGTGGACTGAGTGCTCGTTTGTCACCCTTGTTCTATAAAAAAAAGCACCTGAAATAGAACATATTAGAAGTAATATAAATAATTTGGATTTCGCCGCTTTGTGATGGATCCATTATAATCGCCATAATTTTTAGGCGGATGCAATCCCAATACCAGATTTCTGACGATGCTCCCCTCGTTTAAGCAGACGGGCACCAAGGTAACATAATTTAAAACGACATTATATAATAATACTAGCTGACCAGGCAGACGTCATTATGCCCTTTCCGGCGACGATTTGATTTCCTAGAAAAAAACTCCTGAAATTAGCAATAAAAAAATTGAGGGTCACTTATCGGGATTAAAACTATCATATCTCTCAAGTTGGACCAAACTGCACACAGTGTGCAAAATTTCATTGAAATCAGTTCAGTAGTTTAGGAGTTCATCGCAGACAAACAATGTGACACGTAATTCTTATATATTATAAAGATATTGATATTAGCTTAGTTCCAGTACTCATTTTATTTATCTGATTTTTTAATCTTGTTATTATTTGTGAGGAATTAATAATTACCACAACTTATATTCAATCTAGTTAATAGTTGATGTGTAAATAATTCCATCTGTATTTGTTTGATAAGACTCGTGAAGGTCATTACTATTTGATTCCCTTACTCACCGTTTACTATTGGCCGCCGTCATTTGCATTTACGTGTGCTCATTTAAATATTTTGATTGTTTTTATCATTGAAATTAAAATTCTATATACAGGCTAAAATGGAAAACAAAATTTCTGTTCGGGTAATGGACGACTGTTCAATAATAATTTAGATTTTATGTTAAAACAGTTTAATAAACAAGTAAAAAATATAAGATTAAAATATGTTGAATATTTTAATTATTAAATATTTGAATATTTTAATTGTCCGTCGCGTTTACGGTGAAAACGTGAACTAACTCAGTTTTTATAATTGTCCAACTACGCAATGCAATCGCTATACATTGCGTAAAATGTTAACGCCAGCAGAAATGTACGGTTGGACCGTACATGCTGCCGGGCCAAAATGTGAAGAGATGATTATAATGTAAGTTAGGTGATATGTGATTGATGAGATGATCTTACTTAAGTAACAAGGTGATAAACAATTTGTAACTTAACCTAGTGAATGATTGTTATTTGTAAGATGAAAATGGTTACAGTATCTAACTTATTATTAAACAATTATTTTTATAATTAGATATTAAAATGTCTTTGCGGTATGGGAGAACACGCTTTGTTTTGTTTTTCAATTTCACACGACACATCACCTATATTGCCCATATGTTGACGGTCAACATCACAATTTCGCGCACTAGCACTCACTGTGAAAACACTAGGCTTACGGTAAGCCTTTCTTTGATTTCGCGCACTCACCGCACTAACACTACTCGCCGACTGCAGCTCCAAGTCTGGGGAGATGGGTGTACGCCGCCGCCGTCGCCGCCATCTCCACACGAACACCGCCGCCAAGACTGCTGCCACTCCGATTAACACGTAGTTGATTGCATAGTGATGGATGTCGTGCGACGATAATGTTGTTAATTGCACGTTATTCTTTTTCAGGTCTTTTATTTGACGGTCTAAGTTATGTAAGGAACTGTTCAAATCTGATAAGTTGGTGTCATTTTCGTCAAATGTTTCTAAAGGTATGCTTATTTTGATGATGTTATTCAATGGGTCAATTTTTGGAAGAATTAAGTCCTTATTCATCTTAATTTGATGGGTGTAAATTTGGTGGGAGAGCAACGTAAAATCTTGACCTTTTAGCAAACATCCCTTATCGAGAGATATCACTCCTGCTTTAGTTAGGCGTTCCCCAATTACACGATCAGAGCAAATAATTTTAACATCATATGTGTTGCAGCAGTGGAATAGGTATTGTGAAGGGTTATTCAGCGGTAGCCATTTATTTGTACAAGATGTCTTATAGATCCTGCATCTACTTGTTGTTTGATCTAATTGGCAAAAATTCTTGTCTTCTGAAAGATGGTAAATGGGCTGTCGGATAGGACACAAATAAACATCCTCCTCATGTAAACATAAATATAAGTCCTTGTTTGTGATTTTTAAATAAGTATCCTTTCGTAAACTAATAGCTGTGTATTCTGCAATTGGAAAAATGCTTATCTCTATATTATTCTCTACCTGGTGAGGAATTGTTATAATTTTGTATAATTTGTATTTGTCTCTATTCAGAAGGGGAAATATTACCTCGAATATAAGATATTTTTGCATCATTCTAGCTTTGACCTTAAGTAGTTTATAAATTTTATGAACTTCTTGTTGTATATTTTCTATTGGTAATGTTATATCTTCTGTTAAATGACCAGAGATTATGTGGAGTTCTTCTCGAAGTTGTTCGGCTGTTAATAAATGCATGTTAAATTGACCATGGTATATGTCTGTTAGAGTTTCAAGAAGATTCTCCTGAGTGATTTTTATATTTTGAAGCATATTGCTGGCTATTAAAGAAGACATAGTAAAATCTTGCGCCATTGACATATTTTTTATTTCCTTTTGAATGTTGTTGGTCTGTTTTTCCAAGTTTATCAAATGTCTGTTAATAATTTTATGTTGTTTGGCTACCAAATCTTCGGTACGTTTTAATAAATTATATTCAGATTCCAATACAGACGTTTGTTTCTTCCATAAATTCAATAAATGGTTTTGGTTTTGTCTAACAAGTTCAATATTCTTACTATACTGTTCCGCGAAACGTTCGTCCAGTACGCCGAACAAACTATTTGCCAAGTAGCCTATTCCATTCACAAGTCCCCGTCGCTGTCTGGAGCGTCCGACGAAATGCTGATTCAATAGGAGCTCATTGTAGTATTGCAGTTCCGAGAACTCGTGCTGTAGTTGTAACAATATCATATGGCATAAGTGATCTGCGTTTATGTTCATACATCTTTCGTTTAAATGTTTTAAAAATATTTAAAATGCTTTAATTCCTTCCCAATAAGGTTCTAAGTTGTAATACACAATAAGTGTCCATTTATCCTGGATTATCTGCATTTTACCTATCGGATCGAAGTAAATTGACTGATTATTATTAAAAGTTGTAATATTGTATGAGCTTGTACTAAATGCTGGTGTAAATAAACATATAAAAAACATTAAACTCATAACAATAGAGCTGAATTTGGAGCGGGTGCCTTGTAGCTTATTTTCTTGTTTATGGGTTATTTTTTGTGTAAAGTTGTTCGACCTGTCTTTCTGTTCATTTTGTTGTGATGATGTTTCAATGGGTAGTAATGACAGTTTACTGACTGGTCTTTTAAGATTACCGTTTTTTGTTTTTAATGTTACCACTCTTACATGTCCATCGCTACCTGGGTGAAGTTCTACTACTCGCCCCATCGCCCATTTTCCTGGTGGTAAGTTGTCGTCTTGAATGATGACCATATCACCGATCTTCATGTTTGGTCGCGGTCTTAGCCACTTACTCCTACTAGATAATTGAGTAAGGTATTCCGCTTTCCACCTTTTCCACACACCTTGAAATATTTGTTTTGTTAGCTGCCATCTTGTCCTGGCATCTTCGGGCGTTTCTATTATGGTGGAACCTACATTTGTTGTTAAAAAATGTGCAGGTGTCAAAAACTCCAAATCTTCTACGTTTTCAGTTAGCGGACACAAGGGTCTTGAGTTTAAGCACGCTTCTATCTGACTCAAAACTGTCGAGTATTCTTCGTATGTTAGCTTTTGATCACCAACCACACGCTTCAGGTGATGTTTTAAACTGCGCACAGCTCTCTCCCATAAACCTCCAGCGCTTGGCCACGAGGGAGCATTGAAATGCCATTCGATGTTCAACTCTGAAAGCTCCATCAAAAGGTTGTTGTTAAATATGTGTTGAAGTTGTTGGTATTCTTCCTGCAAGATCCTATTAGCGCCTACAAAATTTGAGCCATTATCACTGTAGATATGACGTGGAGCTCCTCTTCTCGCTGCCATGCGACGAAGCGCTGCTAAAAATGCTGAGGTGCTCAAATCGGACACTAATTCCAAGTGTATGGCTTTGGTAACCATACACACAAAAACTGCTATATATCCTTTGGTAGTTTTTATTCCTCGTCCTTTGCTTGACTTTATTTCAACGAAACCCGTATAATCAACGCCTGTGTGTTGAAAGGGTGGTGCTGGATTAACCCTTGACTCTGGTAAATCAGCCATTAATTGATGTTGTGTAGAGGGACTGTTTTTTCTGCATTTGACGCAGTTTCGTAAACGTAATTTAACGGCTCTGTTGCCTCCTACAATCCAATATTTGTGACGTAACCAACCTAAAGTAAGTCGAGGACCACCGTGAAATGTCATGTTATGTGCATGATCTATTAGAAGATCCGTCAATCTACTTTTATGAGGTATTAATATAGGGTGCATCATATCGTAATGGATGTTGGCGTTTTTTAATCTTCCTCCAACCTTAAGTATTCCCTCACTTAATACCGGATTCAAACTCCGTAATTTGCTACTCGTATGCACTGTGTTGTACTTATATAAATATTCTATATCCACTTGAAAATCGTTTTCCTGAACATGTTTAATAATAACTAATTTTGCATGCTTTAGTTCCCGTATCGTAAGGTAGCTAGGCCATTGTTTACCTTTCTGCTTAGGTGTCAAAAAACGTAATATCCATGCTACAATACGAGTTATTTTTGTAAATGAACTGAATTTATTTAATAATGTATATATAATACTGTTATGTATGTCCTTCTGTATAAAATTTGTTTGTTTTGATCGAATTTCTTCTTTTGTTTGATAAACTTGTTTTTCATTAGGTCGGTAAGAAAATGTTTGTAGCCATGTGGGTCCGTGCCACCATAATTGGTTGTTTTTAAGTTGTGATACGTATAGCCCCCTACTTGCAGCATCCGCGGAGTTTTCCTTCGACTTAACGTAACTCCAATGGCTTGCAGCTATAATTGTAGTAATATAGTTAACTCTGTTTGCAACGAAAGCTTTCCAACGACTTGGATCCCTATTAAGCCAACCTAAAACGACCATGGAGTCCGTCCATCCATATATCTCGATTTTATGTTGACACATACATTGTTTTATTTTATTTATCAATTTACATAATAAATGAGCCGCATTTAACTCTAACCTAGGCAATGATATCTCTTTTTTATTTGGTACGAGTCGTGTTTTGGCCGCTAAAAGTACTGCTTCAGGTTGGTTTTTTGTCCTTGCGTAAACGACGCAGGCAAAGGCATGTTCGGATGCGTCACTAAAACCATGTAACTCGAAAACTTCATTTTCCTTACACCCTATCCATCGAGGGATCTCAAATTCTTGAATATCATTCATATCGCTTCGAATTTTCCGCCATTCTTGTTGTATGTTTTCTGGTATTTTTTCATCCCAAGAAATATTTAACTTCCATACATTTTGAAATAATATTTTTAATTTTGTTGAAATAGGTGCCAACCAGCCTAATGGGTCGTATAATTTTGAAATTTCGGAAAGCAAACATCTTTTTGTGGGCTTAATTTCCTGAATAGACATGTTACAGCAGAAAGTAAAGGTGTCCCTGTTGCTTAACCAGCAGAGTCCGAGCGTCTTTGTTGCGTGTTCAGTTTTAAAATTAAAAATTATGTTTTCTTCTTTGATCTGACTTTTTTCTAAGGTATGAAACAGTTCATTGCTATTCGACGCCCATTTTCTCAATGTGAATCCTCCTAATTGTAATAATCTGTTTAAGTCTTTAAACAACTTTCTACCTTGCTGAATGCTGTGAGCTCCATGGACGAGATCGTCCATATAAAAAGCCTCTTTTAAAACCAATGATGCTTCCGGGTAGGTGGCTTGTTCGTCTTCTGCTAGCTGTTTTAACGTCATCATTGCTAAAAATGGTGCAGACTTGGTGCCATATGTAACTGTGCAAAGTTGGTATGATTGCAAAGGTTGTTCCGGTAACTCTCTCCAAATAATTTTTTGATAACGCTGGTCTTGTTCATTTACCATAATCTGCCGATACATTTTCTCAATATCCGCGGTGAAAGCATATTTATATTGACGCCATTTTAATAATAAGCACTGTAAATCTTGTTGTAAATTAGGCCCTTTATACATTAAATCATTAAGACTGTATCCACTCGAAGTTTTTGCTGATGCGTTAAAAACGACCCGAAGGCTTGTGGTCATTGACTCGGCACGCGCGACACCGTGGTGAGGAAGATAACACTCGGGCATCGTATGACCGTCTGATTGTTTCATATGATTCAATTTTTCATACTCTTTAATAAAGGCTTTATATTTTTCCGCGAAATTATCATTTTTACAAGTTTTCTTTCCAAATTCCGAAACTGTGCAATTGCCATTGATTTTGTTGATCCCAATTTTGTTTTAATTTCGGGTTTTAAGGGTAGCCTAACCTCATAACGACCATTTTCAAGACGTTTCGTAGTTGAAGTATAGTATTGTATACAATGCTGTTCTTCTAAAGACAACTCTGGATGTTCCGTTATTTGTTCTATTTCCCAAAATTTCTGAATGTTTTCTATGTCGTTTGTGATAACATTACATTGAAATGTTTTAACATTACCACACAACAACCACCCTAGCTGCGTTTGTTGTGCGATAGGCTGCGATGAATCTCCCTTTGAAATGCCACTTAACATGATCATAGAATAAATATCAGCACCGAAGAGTAAGTCCACGGGACGACTGTTATAAAACTCAGGATCAGCCAAGTTTATGTTTTCTATAAATGACCAAGAAGGCTTTGCGAACGATTGGTTTGGCAAATGTTTAATTAAGTTGTTCATTATATAAACATGAGTGCTGAAAGAATAATCATTAAACATGGATGTACACGTAATATTTAACATGCCTTTGCAAGTGTTTTCTTTTTCCCCGACGCCATATATAACTCCCTTGCAGTGCTGTCTTTTTAGGCCTAAGGTTTGTGCGGCATTTTCCGAAATGAGCGAAATTTGGGATCCTTGATCTATCAACGCCCTTTTGATCTGATATGTTCCATCTAACGCCTTAACTTTCACCAAAGCTGTCGATAACAAAACTTCTCCTCCAAAATTATTTTGTGATACGTGCGAAGTGTTTGTCACGGACTCGATAAGTTTTTTCGCAACCTGTGTACCGGATATGGACTTTGTGCACGCGTCATGTAACAGAGTATTATGTTTCTGCAAGCATTTACGGCACCTTTGTGTTGAAATACATGGATTTCCGTTGTGGCTAAATAAACAATTTATGCAAAGTTTCAATTTGTTGGTGGTTTTTAATTTAATTCCATTTGGCATTGCTAAAAATGTTTTGCAATTGTAAATGCCATGATCATCATTACAAAGAGGACATTTGATTCCAGAAACGTTATATGATTTTGCAATATGTTTGTTCGTCGTATTTTGATTAAAATTGAATTGCTTTTTGTAATTATTACTCGATGATGAATTATTGAAGTTATATTGAGACTGAACGTTTAATTTTGATGTATTTTCTTGTTTTCGCCGACATAATTCAAGTGTTGTAAATTTGCTTTCCAAGTAGTCCAGAAACTCCTGCAGCACGGGTAGATCTCTAGGCCTTTTTTGCGATTCTATGTATCCTGTATATGTTTCCATGTCTAATTTTTGCGACAATATGTGTACTAGTAACGGATCCCATGTGTTAATGTCTACGCCTAAGTTTTTAATCGCGTTTAAACACTCTAAAGTTGTATCATGTAATTTTTTAATTTGATTTACCACCTGCTGCTGAATATTAGGGAAACCAAGCAATAGGCTAATGTGAGATACGAAAATTCTTCGCTTGTTGTCAAACCTATGACTTAGCATTTCCCAACAAGTTACGTAATTTTCTGAACTAATATTCAAATGCTGTATTAAACGCTCGGCATCCCCTTGAAGCTTACTCTTTAAAAATTGCATTTTTTTGAGCATTTGAAAGCGACAGGTTATTGTGAATTGTTTCTGTGAAAAGATCTTTGAATGGTATCCACTGGTTATAATTGCCGTTAAATGTAGGGATATCCATTCTGGGCGTACTGTTTTCTCGGTGATTGACAGACCACATTTTGGAATTGAGTTTTCTCTTTAAATCCATAAATTCCTGTTCATACACACTAAACGTATTTGCATACTCTTCGTCATCCCCATTGAGATCATGATCAATTTCCCAATGCAGGGAATCTATAGCCGACCACCGCGACTCTAATGTTTTTAAAGAATCTTCGAATTCCCATTTTTCCGTAATGTTATCTATGTTTATGCAACTAACAGACCTTTTAAATGCCTTAAAATTAATATATCGTTTGCGCAACATGTCATCTAACTTACTTGTTGTTCCTCGATGTGCCTGTGGGCGAAGAGCCTCTTGCGGTTCCGACGACCTTCCTGAAGACGGCTCACCTAATCCACGCTGTTCCACCTGTTGACTTGTTTTACCTTCAAGGCTGGATAATATTTCTGGCTAGCCAGGAGATCCTGATACTGCTGATTAATGATTTCTTTTACCGAGTTATATTGCTCCCTTGCAATGTCGTACTCGGAATTTGTAAAGTAGGGATGTGTACGACTCTCACTTTTTACCAGTTTGCTGTGATTGTTCTGATAATCTTGCCAATACGATTCCAAAACCTCAAGTTTTCTTTTAAAATAATCTATTGTTTTACGCTCTGACCCATCTTTTTTAATATTGACACCAATTTTACGAATAGCTCCTACAATCTCCACCTGATTAGCGTGTACGTTTTCCATTTTGTTACTAAAATGAAAACTGTTAAAAAAGGAAAGATCTTACTTTGACACTGCTGATTACTGCTGATGCTGGTTCTGCTGCTGACCAACTTGCCGACACGTTGATTCTTGACCTGGAAAAGCTGCTGTTTTGCCAAGCCAAATGTTGAGGATGTTGAGCAAGATGACCACTGTTATGTTTGAGTTCGCTAGTTCTCACTGTCAGCTCACTGTCCTTGAAACACGCGAGGGTCCAATTCGCTTTTCAAAGAACCAAAAATGTTAATGTTTCGCTCGAAGGACCAAAAATGTTCGGGTAATGGACGACTGTTCAATAATAATTTAGATTTTATGTTAAAACAGTTTAATAAACAAGTAAAAAATATAAGATTAAAATATGTTGAATAATGCTAAATGTTAATGTTAAATGTTATGTTGATGAGTTCGCGTCCGTCGCGTTTACGGTGAAAACGTGAACTAACTCAGTTTTTATAATTGTCCAACTACGCAATGCAATCGCTATACATTGCGTAAAATGTTAACGCCAGCAGAAATGTACGGTTGGACCGTACAATTTCTATAATCAGTACTTACCGTGGTGTTTCTGGTCTGCTAATGATTTTCTTTAAGGAAACTCAACTGTTAGTTTGTCTAGTAGTAGATACGGCTGCTGATCTTGAGTTTTTCTGTCAATAAATTCCTAAATAGCAGTCCGGAGTCAGGAAGTTGGCAGTTGTAGTGTTATGCTACTTACATATCATTTTACACTATTTTAAATTCATTTTTTCCTTCTGTTTTGATTTTCTGCATTCACCTCAAAACTGGATATTTTGTATCACCTTTATTTCCATAGGATCCTGTAACGTTTTTAAACCATAAGAACACAATAACAAATCATTTTCACTTTGTATTTTCACGCTATCAGCATTTTTTAAATCAGTGTCGATGGAGTCTACCTTTTTTGATCTTTTATTTAGTTCTCCGTAACTCTGCAATTTCGGGCTTCGTGCGCGCTGGTGCGCTACCTTTTTTCCTATATCAATAATATCTCATTTTTCACTTAAATCTTGCCGTTTCTCTATTACGAGCCTGAAACCAAAATTTGACATGTTTTGACATCGTTGTTTATCTGGTTGTCATGGCAATTTTTATTCGAATTCGTTACCGGTCTGATGTTTTTACTTAAATACTTCCACAAAAATACTCTTTTCCTCATGGCCATTTACAAAAATTTGCTTTTAATTTAAATAATTTTCCGTTCTTATCCCAGATCCGCCGTCGAGGTATAAAAGCCGAACAGTCGGCCAATAAACTGAGTCTCGCTTCAGCTTTCAAACTTGAAGCATCTCCTAAAGGCCTTATCCCGGGGCCGCACTGCCCCGGGATCCTGCAAGCCTCTGCCTTCACCTGAAATCGTCGCCTAGCCACGCCCACGCCTCCACCTACTAGTGCCCGCACTATCTTCAGCCGCTGTGCGCGCCTACTCTGGGCGCTGCGTGTGCCTACTCCAGGCGCTGCATGTGCCTACTCCACGCGCTGCGTGTGCCTACTCCAAGCGCTGCGTGTGCCTACTCCAGGCGTCGCGTGTGTCTACTCCAGGCGCTGTGTGTGTCTACTCCAGGCGCTGCGTGTGTCTACTCCAGGCGCTGCGTGTGCCTAGACCAGGCGTTGCGTGTGCCTACTCCAAGCGCTGTACGTGCCTACTCCAGGCGCTGTGTGTGCATACTCCGTGAGCGGTGAGCACCACCGCCGAGCGCGGTGTGCCACTTTGGTGTTCGGGCTCCGCTTCAGTTCTCAGCTATCTTTATTATATTTTTTTTAAATAATTGTAATTCACGTCATCATACTTCATTTTTTATATAAAACTGTAAATATCTTTTTAAATTTTAAATAAATTATTCATTTTTGTTCTATTTTTGTTGTTTCATTGTTGTTAGGTTAGGTTCTTTTGTTTTTAATTGTCGCTTCACGACACAGTATTTCTCCCCCGTGCCTTGGAAAGCACGTAAAGCCGTTGTTCCTGCACCTGATTAACATTGTTCGTGTCGGGTTGCCGTCCTATCACACTATGAGAGCGAGGGAATAGAGTGTGCACCTCTGTTTGCGCATGTACTCGGGCACCATAATCCTGTCCTGTTGAAACTGGCCGCCGTGACCAAAATTCGGTCCGGAGGACATTATTATAAGGAAAGAAAAAGTGCGATGTTTGCCTTGGTATATTATTAGGTATATTTGATTTTTGGCAATGCAGTATCATTGCATAATTCTATCACCAAAATATTC